TTTACTAATGCGAAAAGAATTAAAAATGTTACACTATTGCCTACATAACAATATTTAAATGTAAAATTTTATAATAATGACATGAGAGACACTAGATTTAGTTTCATTCCTTTTTTATTTTCTAAACACAAATCTTACACCATATTTTTTCTTTACAAATTGATACATCTGAAAATCATTTACATATAATTGATTTGAAATATGATACATAGAATAGCCTTGACAGCGTTTGAGTAAAAAGTAAATACAATATTGTCCACATACATTGGATGTAGGTGATTGAAACACTTTGGAATTCCATAGTACGTCCGTGTAGGAAGCGGTATTCACGTTGTAAAATCCGGGAGGTTTCCCATATGAGTCATAAAACTCTAACCGTCTTTGATCATTCACAAATAAGGCTAGCCAGTGAGTCCCAGCTTGTGATGAGTCATCTGAATTCGTGATAGCACATGTGTTTTTTTGGAGATTCGGAAGCGTATCTCTTGAATATACGCCTTGAAAGTAAGGCGTTGTTATCTTATCTTGCGATAAAATGTAGAATAGTTGCAATCCATCCATTCTTCAATTTACGAAGTCGAATAAAATATTTCTTGGCTTGTTAATTTCAATCAAATTTTCAAATTCGGCAAAAACGATAACGCATACTGTTTTTTCCAGTGATTTGGCAAATTTCAGTTCTAATCTCAAATTGCTATGCTTAATCAGATTTAAATGTTCTCCTGAACATAGATCTGGGGAGATATTAAATCCAAATAATGTATTTCCGTTCTTGTAGTCTTCTCTGGAAATAATCATTCCTCTATCTTGACCCATTCGTTCCGTTCCATCAAATAAAGTTTGATAGGCACGAATGTATTGATTTTGTGAAAAGTTGAGTTCCAACGGATTATGGGGGACGGGTTGTCCATCTACATACACTCCAATAAAATTTAAATCAAAATGTTTAAAATCAAAAGGAGATTTTGTCAATGTTCCATGAAAAGCTTCATTATCTACACAGCCAATAATAACTTTTTTAGGCATTTGAGCCGAAAATATATTATCTTAAATAAAACACATGCTCCCTTTAGGAATCGAATACACTTTGCATAGGACTCGATTAATGGGGTATTTTGCACTTGTTTCCTCGAGTGCTTTAGCATGACCAAGAAGCACTCCGGGGTTCACACGAACTTTTCGAATGAATAAAGAGACATGATCCAATACTACTTTAAATCCTTCAGATCCTTGTACACAAAATTCTGGCTTGTTTCTTATTAGTTTTATTTTCAAACCCACTAAATTGAGTAAATGACGATCTTGATGAAATAAATCTGAATGAATGCAGCCAATCATATCCACTGTTGCGCTTTCTTTGAAAAAAGCAGTTCTTTTGTTTAAACCATCCTCAGAATCTTTATTAAATAATTCAGCAGTTAATTGAGATGTTTTGCTATCATATCCATAGTTTAGGAGAGTTTCAATACAGGCCTTATAGGGATAGGTATTACTTGAATTGGAAACTGTACGATCGTTTAAAGATACATCTACTTGAGAAAATAATGAATGTAGAAATAAATTCACAGGTCCTAGAACATCATCTTTAGTGATAGCTGTATTGTTTGTTTTTACCATTTTCGTTTTCACATACAATTATGTTTGACTGAGATCTATATAATCTTCCACACTTCCAGAGACGTGAAACTCTACGGGAGCATTATCAAAAATGTTAGAAAGAGGATGAAATTGTATCCATTGATCATCTTGAATAGCTGTTTGAGTTTCAGGTAAAGTAAAAAGTTTCAATTCCGATTTTACGCATTCAGGAGAATCTTTCAACAAAAATACCATTTTATGGATCAAAAATATCTCGTCCACTCACTTTGCGTGCTTTGGATGAAATGAATCGTTTTTGCTTCTTACGCTTTCTTCTATAGTTTCCTTTCCCGACCATTGACTGCACTTTATCAATAGCTTTTTGGGCAAGATATTTTCCACTTTCTTTAGTTCTTGTTTTGACGGCTTCCTCAAAGTTTTCTCCAGATAATACATCAGATGTTACTCGAGTTCCCGTTTTTAAAACTTCTTTTCCAATAGTTTTACCACCGTTTACTAAGGTAGGCTAGTACTGCTCTAAATAATCGACAAAATATACCAGCAAGTCCATAGCCCTTTCGGAAATTAATACCTTTATAATAGGGCGAAACCCGAGCCAATTTGACTCGCATAGTGATCTTCGAATTTTTCAGCACGCAAACCTACGGTACACTCATCTTGATGTCTTCGCTTCAAATGAATGCTTCAAAAACTCATCGTACTATTTATAGTATTTGTCTCATGCGGAAATGTAAAACTATAATCACTTTGCCACTTTCAAAAGGTACGAAATCACCTGAATTCAATCTGATCTCCATTTGAATAGTTTGAAATGAGTGCCTCGTTAAAGGTAAGTATTGAGGTCTATCATAATACTGACTGATTGTTTCACCATCATATCCTTTTATTCGAACGATCCGCAGTAAAGGAGCTTGTGTATCTCCGACAATTTGTGGTGAAATTAAATCTGAGTAGACGTAAAAAACGGAAAAATTAGACCACGCCAAATTCGCTTTTCCGGTTACCCGTAATGACTGCATCGCGTTGGAATCCTAACAATTCACCTAACTTTTCTAAATGAAGGCTGCAACCTTGAACGGCGTTAATTTTTACTCGTTTTGTAGCTTTATTGTAATTTATTGTAAACCGACTAGGATTTTTAGGTAAAGCAAGCTGTATAGCTGATACAATATCGAACATTGATTCTTAACACCCCACATCAATTGTTTGCTTTACAGTCGATATGATATTACAATTACTTATCTTGTATTGAAAATAATTGTTACTTTCATTTACGTTCAGCCGAAACTGTGGATAGATGATTTCAGATAGGCCTACTTCCCATTCACCTTTTATATTAACTGGTATCGGTAACTGTGTCTTAAAATGAGAGATTTTGCTGTTAGGAAAAAACTGCATGGAGCTATCAGAAGGTAACGTCACGTAGAAAGACATTTTCGAGAATGAGTCTTCAGAGGTTAAGTTTCACTATTTATACTTTTTGAATATCACTCACCCAGTCATTAAACTTTTCAGGATAGCCTAAAAATTTAACAAAATATTCTGTGCTTCCTCCTTTCGGTCTCTTTTTGATTTTTTTCTACGGGATAATAACCCGAGTTGACACCTTTTTGTAATTCTTCAGCATAAAAAGTACCTTCTATTGCTTCATTCTTTAAATCTTTTAATTTATACGCTATAGGATTTCGTGGAATAATTTTATCTTTAACAAATAATTCTCGTGTCCAATTATTTTCATATCCTTTCTCAAATGTAAGTTTTGATTTACTAATGCGAACAGTGTCACCTACTTGAAAAACAGGGTTATCAATATTCACCTCATGGCTGTATAAATTATTCCATACTTCTTTTTGATTATCGATATTCACTGAGGCTGGTTCCATTTTTATACTTCTATGCTTTGTATGATTATAACTATGGATTAATTTATAAAAGACATCACTATATTTTTTCGTGTTAAATTCTGTAAAGTATTTCCACATTTTAGTTTTTAAAGTAAGATTAAATCTTTCATTCAACAATTCTTGCTTTAGTTTCATTATTTGTAGTAAAAAAATGAGCTCCTGTTATTTTAAGATATTGCTGACCAAGTTTATTTGTAAATTCCGTACCCTTGTCTGACTGTAAATTTTCTGGTTTTTTTCCCTTAAAAATAGTTTTTAAAGCAGACAATATATTTTTGGCTGATTTGTCTTTTACAGGAACGGCCCAAGCAAGCTTTGAGGAACAATCTATACAAGTTAATAAATATTTGAATCCATTATTAAATTTTACTAAAGATTGCATGTCAACTAAATCAATTTGAAATTGTTCATCTATACCTCCAACAATCACTCGATTACGTTTAAATTTATGCTTCACAGGTTTATGTAAAGTTTAAGAGTCATTAGTCTCTAACCATTTCATAACCTCAATTTTCTTCACTTTACCTTTCACAGAATTATAAATGGCATTTACACCTTCTAAACTTCCTGGATGTCCTGGTTTCGTATAAACAGATGAAAGTAAACGATCCATAATCTATTTAAAGAAATTTAGAAATTATCAGAATTTTTTTCCCCTCTAATAACAATTTAATTCTAAGAGTTTTAACACTCATAAACGTTCTTAAAAAATAATGGTATACAATAATCTCTATAAAATTAAATAGTAATGCCTATATTAGTATAAAATAGTTTTTCTTATTGTATAACAGCAAGAATTTTTTTTCTTCTATATTAAGAACCTGAAAAAGAGTACTATTCTGAAAAAGAAAATTTATGCCAGCTGAAAAAAAGAAATCTCTTTTCCTCTGAAAACAAAAGTTTATAGTAATTTTTACAAAATATAAAAATAACAACAAAATATTTTAAAACTTAAGTTATTTTAATTGCAAAAATCATATTTAGCAGCAGTTAACAAAGCATCTAATTTAATTTCTTTTAAAAAAGCTTCACACAAAGAAGTCTTTAAGGGGTTGTCTAAACAACCTTCGTTCACTTAGTTCATTATTAAAATCCAGAGCAATATTCTCCACATCTAAGTCCAAGTAAGATTCATTGAAATCGTGAACACTGCACACAACTTCTGGTCAAGAAAGTCAGCAGACCTGTCTACTGGCTTCAGACCTTTCTTCAGTCCAATATGTTTATACAACGCAATTTTCAGGCAATCTTTCATAACAGGACCCGCTTCGTTGATGTCTGAATTCTTTGGCACCACTGGACACTGTTGATGGGTGGATTCTTGAAAAATGTTCAAAAAGTCCACGGACCTGTATTTTAAATTAATATAGCCGAATGTCACACTATCTCGACACTTCTGTAGTTCTCTCCACTGTTTGAAACTGATTTCCGTCTCGTGCTTGTATACGCGGCCACTTCTGCAGGTATATTCGTCCACTAGCAGATACTTTCCCTCGTCATTCATCAGCACATAAAATTTTTCACGGGGATTAGCTGGAGGGATCTCTTCCAAAGCCATGTTGATGTCTGCAATGCCGAAGATACATGTCGGTGGACCATGACAGAAGCAAGTATTATACTGTTCAGGCTGTAGAGTTATACCATATCCTGAAGGATAGTATGAGTCTCCATATCTGTTAAACCTTCGTATATGAATGGCTGATTTCTTGTTATACGTGCTGGCCAAAACGAATAAGTCCTCACCAATTGGATAGCAATACTCTGGAAAGTTTCCCTCCTGGAACAAACCTTTCCTCTTTGGTTCATCCTAATAAAATAAAAAGAAACACTTTTTTGAGTCACCAAGAACAACAATAACGTTTAAAATAAGTAACAACTATTAACAGAATGTAATTATGCTTTAAATTTAACTTAATTATACCTTTCGATTCAAATAATATTAAAGAATTTTTAAAGTTAACTAAGTTTTGTTACATGCTCTACTTAAAAAACGAATTAGTGCTAGAAGTTACAATAAAACAATTCTATTAACAATAAATTTAAAAGCATAGTAAATTACAAAGAAATCAATAGTACTTACTTTAGTTTCAGCGTGTTTTCTCTTTAAATATCCATATAATAACGACATGGTAAATCAAACACTTTCAAAACTTAATCGAAACACAACAGAAGAACAAGTGAAATATAAATATAAGAGGGGAAAAAATTAAGTCACTCTATCCTTCTAGTTGCAAAACCAAGAAAGTATAACTCTAACAACCAATCAGAAAAATTTTAAACTGTCACATGCTTAACTATTTACCAGCGCAAGTGAAAGGAACTGAATTCAACACACACCATAGACCAAGATCTAGCTTGTTATATTTTATCAGAATGACTCGCTCTGTAATCAGTAGTTGTGTTATCACACAAACAAAACACGTCAAATCTTAACACGTGTATGGTCAGTACCGTTGCCACCCAGAGAAAGTTATAATAGCATTAAGAAGGAGCAGAAATAATTATTTAATAACTGTCAAAGATTAAGTGAAAATACATATATCGATGAAACTGTAGGATGATATTGATATAAAACCCTTTTCATTTATAAACGTGTTCTGTATACAAAAGTTTAACTTATTTACGCATATCTAACCAAGCATTCGTAGGTCAGTGGTTATGATATCCAACTACTGACCCACGAAGGCTTTTTGATAGGCGTGAGTTCAATCCTCAGCCTTAATTATATCTAATAAATAATAATAAAACAGATTTAAATATTAAAATAGATTTAAAGTTATTTCATTTCTAACATTCCCGCATAGATGGCGCCACTAGAGTAAAAGCATGATATCATTTATTTATTATGTAATAAAAGATGACGTCATTACTTTTTTTTCTTTTCTCCAAGCTTTGGACATGTACCTAGGTCATTATGGACCCTTTACCATATAGCCCAAAGCTTGGCTACTGGTCCGGCTCCACTCCAGCCTAGGAACGAGCCCAGTCAGCAAGAATTTATTAAGAATTTAGATCTGTACAAAGTCACAATATTTTTAAAGAATACAAAGATTAAATATGATACAAGTTAATAACACATAATAACAAAATAAAGAAAGAAGTATAAAAAGAAAAACAAAAAAAAAAAACTTAAAGGCCATAAACTATTTGTTATTGCCTTAACTAAATAAACAATTTTGAAAACGATCCCCCCCTTCTTTTTTTCATTGGTTTTTATTTATATACAGAAACTGAGATTGAATACTATATCAAAAAAGTTTAAGAGGTAATAAACATTTTCAAGATTACTTAAAAAGTCAGGTTTGATTAAAATTTTAATAAGGTAGTCGTTTTTTGCTAGAAAGTTCATTACGTTAATTAATTTAGATTTTAATGTTTTATTTGTAAGAAAGTTTTTTTTGCCAAATATATAAATTATTAATGTTTGGAAGGCGTGTATGCCATGATATTGTGTAAAGACAAGTTGATAAGTAATGCTCTGGTGTACCTGGATGACTACAGGTACAAAGGTTTGTATCCGAGATTCGCAGGTAATGAAAAAAAGAAGGAAAAGGACCGTGACCTGTTAGGAACCAGATGACTTGTTTAATTGGAATTGATTTGAAGAAGTTGACATTGTTGATGATGTTAAACAGACGTCTTCCTCTATCGGAATTATTCCATTGGTTTTGCCAATTACTTGATAAAGATTTTTTAAGAGATTGTTTTAGGTGTGAAACAGGGAGAGAAAAGGAATAATTTTTAATGTTTTCTGTTGCTTTTTTAGCCAATTCATCCGCTCTCTCATTACATTCTCTAGTGTTATGCGCTTTAATCCAAGAGATTTGAATGGTGGTGTCCATTAGTGCATGTTGAATGTCTTTGGTTATGAGGTTGGTTGATCCTGCGTCTTTAATTGATATTATTGAGGCTTTAGAATCTGACCAGATTATGTATTTTATTTGTCTATTAAAGTTTAAGTTATTTTTGATGTGTTTTACACATTCTAATATTGCCAATTGTTCGGCCTGAAAAATAGAATTATTAATATCCAAGGTGAAAGTTTGTGAATGGGCGTTGTTAAGAAATGCGAATGCAGTGCCTGTTTTAGTTTTGGAACCGTCTGTGAAGTAGTTAGTATCTTTTCTAAAATCGTAGTTACCTTGCTCAGTTAAAGAGATTTTGTTTTTAATATAATAAGATGGGTGATAAATTGGCCTTTTTAACTTATTTTCATAGTCCTGATGATTATAACTTGTATGATTGAAGATTGCATTTTTTATTTTTATTTGAGTTAATGTTGTTGAGCATGACATCAGCATAATCTGGTCTGGAAGAGGGGGAATATTTGTTAAAACATGAAGAGCTGCTGCAGGAGTAGAGTGGTAAGCCCTGGTAATATTCAAAAGGAATTTGCGTTGAATCGAAATTAATGTTCTAGATATCCGAGGTGAGATGTTTTTTACCCAAATATTGCAACCGTGTGTCAGAGAAGCCCCCAAATAACAAAGTTTATGAGTATTGTCATCCTTAAAAACTAATATTAAAAATAATAAGTGTTTCTCAAAAAACTAATAATAAGCAGAAACCGGAACTAAAATTGACACTACAGGCGGGCAAAAATAAGCAACTTCTGGTTTATATGCGGGCAGAAATAAGAACCCCTTGACTTTCCATGATGATGTCACTTGCGACCGCTATACAACGTGGTATACTAGTTACGTTGGTTTAAATTTTTTGCTTTAACAATACTGTAAATAAATGTTCAGCTGAATTTTAAATATTAAGCCAAAGAAATTTTTACTATTATCATTATTTTAAACATCATAAAAATATATATATACACTTCTTATCTCAAATTTGAACCGAGTAATTACAAATTAAAGTAAAAATACAATGCTAGTAGTATAAATGCTCATAAGCTAGAGTGAATGTTTAACAATGATTGTCACATTTGCACTTAATGTAATGTGACAATTTTGTTTCTAATTTTACTTAAGCCTTTAATTTTTCTTTAAACGTTATTCCTTTTTTCAATTTAGCAATTTTAACTTTCTTGTTGACCTTTCTCATGGTCATTGCGGTCATCGCACTTCCTGTGGGGAAAGTCAACCAACTCCTCTATTCACGCCTTTCTTTTTCTTCTTTTAATTTTAGGGGGGCTAACAAACCCATCTCTTTCCTTTAAATTTCAAACTCTCCGCCTCTTTTAATTTAATTGGCCGTAATTTTCTGGTCCTATACCAGTTAAGGAATTTTTAAGTCTTTTTAAATACATTCTCTTTTTCTCGAGCCTTTGGGCAGGTTACCCTTTTTCTCCGAGATGTGGACTTCGGTCCGTATCGAGGGATTTCTTTTTACATTTTTCTTCTTAACCTTTATTTTAAATTAAATCCATAGCTGCAATCAATTTCTGTAAATTTAAAATCAACATTTTATACCTTTAATTTTCTTTAACATTAAAAAAAAAACCTTCTCGAATTTAAGCTTTCTTTCCATATTTATTTTAACCTTTAAATTACTCATTCTTTTATAATCTACTTTTATCTATGACGCCTTCTGTGTTTTAATTTCTTTCGTCACCCATTTCTATTAAAGGTGCTTCTAATGCTAAAAATTGTTTTAAAGACGTCTTCCCACTAGTTATGTTGTTAGATATTTTTCTTAAATAAATCTTCAACGCAAGTTAAAAATGTGTGCTTCTTTTGATGGTTGTCTTTTAAAATGTCCTGTGTGTACAGGGTGAGTACCTTTCAGTTATTGTTATGGGCATGCATAAATGTGAATTTATTAGTTTTTCTTATTGGAAACATCAGCTTACTGTTTGAATCATATATATTGTTTGGATATAGCATGACTTTATCGTATTTATCATTAATCTTTAATTTTCACCCTTATTCTAAATTTGGTGATACCAATTTATCCAATTTGTTCAAACCTCACACTTTGTGACCCTTTGAACCTATTGGGTTATTGTTATCCCACATTAGCATTGTACTACCACTTTCCTTAACGATCAAATTCCCCTTAATTTTATAATTACCCTGTTATATATTTCGGCCTTAATTTTATTTATCATGACTATATCCAGAGATACATCCAATTATGCAATCTATCAATTTTATTACATAAATAACTTTACTTTATTCGCACCAAATTCAATTAATTTAACTCTTACAAAGATGTTAAAATAAAATTGTTTCCGATATGTTGAAAATTTAAAAGAAACCGAATTTTAACTACATCTGATTTCATAATACCTGAACGTTACTATTATGACTATAAAAAAACTTCAAACATTATACCTTATTAAATTTTATTAATGAACACATATCTGCCTACCCTATTTTCTAAAATTCCGAAGATTTATTACAAAGTTGCCGAAGAAATTAGACAATGCAGAAGTTAAGAATCCACCTGTCGGTGTTCCCACCTTATCGTGGTTTGTGTGTGTTGTCGATCCCGAGAGCTATGCCGGCGGTAGCTTAACTACTGGCAGGGTCACTCAAGCCGGACAGGTCGTAGGGGAGACACCAGAGGAACACCCTTGTCCTCCAGGTTGGGGGTTAGGCGTGGAGTTAACAATCCCACCCTGTAAAAAATCCATTGTTCAGAAAACACTAACAATACGAAAAAGCCGGACTGCTTTGTCGTGGAAAAAATGGAATCTTGGTTGGAGAAGAAGACAAAATTTTGGAAACATGGACAGAATATTCTGAAAGCCTTTCAAACAGAAATGAAGTAATTAGACAAACAGAAGGTGAATTAGTTACACCAGAGAATGATTGTGAACCGTTAGAGATGGAGGAAGTTAAAGAAGCAATTAAA